AAACAGGGGCTGTGTCCTAATGTCCGTGTCATTACCCGATCCATCCCGGAAGCACGATCCGTCATCTTACGCCCTCAATTTTATTTTGGTAAAAAGAGCTAAATGACGTTTTTCTCTCCCTGAAAATATTTAACGTACTAAAATATAATAAGTTAAAGGTTAATAATGTATTTCATGAGAAAATAACGCCTTTAAATCCTGTTTTATCAGTCGTCTCTGCCCAATCTGCACAGAAATGGGATCCTACTCTCCTTTGGAGAGTTAACTCTTTTGGCTTTGGATTTAAACAAATTTAGTCTTTTTGAGTTTTAGGTTTTCCTTTAGTGTTAACATTATGGTATGTAGTGTGTAATCTAAATAAAGAAACAACTAAAATGCACATAAACATGGTTGAATCAGATTTTGCCGGACTGCTCTGAGCATGTCCCATGATGATGTCAGAGAAGCAGTTTAAGAAGAAAATGTAAAAAGCATCAAAATTGTCTCACAAATGTCATAAAACATTTTTAAACGATGTGCATTAGCATTCTTTAGGGAGTTTAAACATGCAAAACATGTTCGCTTTTATTATCCTGATGCCTGCAGTTTGGATTACGTACATGGAAAACACCTTCCAGCCTTCTTTGCTGTTTTTTAGCCAGGTCTGTCACTGCCAGCCTTCAGTTGGCATGAGCAAGAATTTGACTCATCAGTTCCAAAGAAAAGGAGCAACGATGCTCAGAACAATGATCAACATTCAGTTTTTGCTTTTTTTGGTTCCTTGGCTTTAATCAAAGAAGCCATTTCTCATCTCTCACACGGAGCCACAGCGAGCTCTGTCTAACCGTATACTCCTCCTATCAGTGCAGAATCCTCTGGGTTGATTCTGGCATCTTAACCAAAAATAATTATTTTTAGGAAACCTTTAAAATTCATTAACTAATTATTACCATCTATTAATTTTTCAGATAAATTAATATTTTTTATTCTGCACCACTCTAGCTGTTCAGCAGATGGATCATTTCTGAAAAATTAACTGTTTTGGTGAAAATGTTGACCTCTTTAGTTTTGTTGTGTTATTTCTGTATTAATTGTAGATTTTAAAACATACCAAATATTTTCTCCTCAGAAACTCAAATCATATTTCATACCAGTTTGGTCTTTTAAATGTTTTCAGAATAAAAGAACAATGTTTGGAAATCAATCATTAACAGCCCAGAATGAATCATCCCTGCTGGTGAGCGAATGTAAACTTCTGATTTTCTCTGTAAATCTATAACTGCTGCTGGAATGTTAACTATTGTTGTTAATATTATTAGAAAGAAAAAAAGGATCCCCACCGTAGAGCCATACATTAAACCTTTGATCTGGCTCCATGAAACTCTCCAAACTCTTCATGTTTCCATGATTAAAGAGGAAACATGCAGCTTTCTCTGCTTGGAGCTGCAGACTCCTATTTGTCTTTCATGTAGATAAGAAATTTACCAGGCGGACATGAAGGGATATCTAGGTGTAAATGTTGGCTATAAAGATTCCTGTTTCATCAGATGCTCCTGCTCTGACAGACTCTTAGTTTTCGGGATTTGATTCAGCAGGTTTGGCTCCACAGCAAACATCAGGTAAGCCGTAGGCCATGACAGGCGGGGTGGAAAATAACCATCTGATAATGGCTGCTGATTAAATGCAGCTGTGAATGCTTTCAGTTGAGACTGCCACCCAATGACTAAGCTCACCGTACACATAAATATAACATTAGCCTGAGGGGACGTAGGCCGTCTGCCCTGTGTTATGCAAACTATGAAGGAGGACAAACACAGACGTCAGGGAGCTGGCAGCAGGGAGTCAGCCACAGAGAGGTGTGAACAGATGACGTACCATATTGGACAAGGCTACTCTGTCCTTGGGAACTATCAGGGAGATGTCAAAGGTGGCTTTGATGGCGGGCTCATCCCAACAGGGAAAAGCTCTGCGAGCGTCTGTGGCCTGAAGGAGAAAAAGAAAGAGGCAGTTAGGAGGGAGGTTTTTTTCATTTATTTATGAGGCTTCGTCACTGGATGAGTAATGAAAGAAAACTGCATCGGTTAAAGAAAGGCTACTGTTCACTTTACATCTACTTTTAAGGCTAGGCTCAAAACTTTCCTTTTTGATAAAGCTTCTAGTTAGAGTGGCTCAGGTTATCCTGAGCTATCTCTATAGTTATGCTGCTATAGGCTTAGACTGCTGGAGGACATAGGGACCCCTATTTCATCATTCTATCTCTATTCTTCCACTCTGCAGAAACTGTTAGTTCAGTCTCTAACATTCTGCTCTCTCTGCTTTTTCTCAAAGTAGCTTCATGTTTGGCTGTGACTCCATCCTGGAGAGAAATGGTGCTGCTGCCATCAACACCATTTTTTATAGATGTTGTAGATCGCCGTGTTTTTCAGTATAGTCCAGTTTCTCTGATTGTGACGGGCTGGATGTGCTCTCTTCATGGGAGCTGGCTTGGAACTTGTCTCCCTGGCTGTGTGTTTTTTGGTACGGGGCCGCCTGTGGAGCTGGTTGAGAGTTGCCTTCTGTGTGTCTGCTTCTTTTTCTATGTCTGCTTCTGTCTCCTTGAACCAGACTTCAAGAACCAGACTCACGCTGCGTCTGGTTCCGCAAATCCGAACCAGATAAAAGTAAAAAATTTCCACTGGGGATAGGGAGATATATATATATATATATATTTTTTTTTTTTTGTTGTTGTTTTTTTTCTATGCTGTAAATGCTTAATTAGCCATAAATGTCATAAATGATGAAGAGTCTGTTGATTTACACTAAATTAGGTTAAATCTGTTAGGAAAAATGCATCTTCAGAGTAAGCAAGTCGGATTTGGATTCAGGACATTTATCTTTTCGGCTGATTTCTGATGGAGATGATGTGATGCTGATGGACGGCAGCTCGCTGGAGACAATCAGACATTTCTCCAGTCTGGGGCTGAACTCTTAACCTCCAACATACAGAGCAGGATTTATCCTCCCAACCAGGGAGGGGCACGCTGCTGTGGTTTCACTACCGACTACCACTGGTTAATGGGAATTAAACTGGAACATTGTTTCCTCAAACCCCAATTATTTAACAGAATAAAACACCAACCAAACCTCATTCAACTAAAACATATTTCTAATGCTGAAGGAAAATTAAATGCCACTTCCATCACTCAGGGTCGCTATGACACCCAGAAAGGAACTCTACTGTTCAACCAGGAAAGGAATCATTGTGACAGATGTGGCACCATTTAACGTAAATTAAACAGCCTTCCTAAAGGTAAAGATAACAATTTATTGGTAAGAAGCTCGGATCAAACAAAAGAAACACATTTCCTCATCCTTCATATTAATTTTGGCTCATCTGCAGAAGTTAAATTCCCTTTCCTGTGAATCAATCAGCCTCAGCAGGTTGATGCAGCAGAAGAGCTAAAGTCTTTCCCACATCCACTCACCTCAAACTGTGTGACAGCTGCATAGCGGGTCTCTCCAGCAGCTGTTGTGTATTTACTCCTATAGAAGCCTTTCATTTTGTCGTTTAGTTCCCCCACAAAGTCGATCTTCAGCGTGCCGGAGCCTGTGGAGGTTAAAACAGAGAGAGCACCGCTGTTTGTTCAGGGAGCCATTCTTCTACAGCCGATCAAAACCCAAAACCAGGACAGGAAGAGTCCATCCTTACCTTTCTGTAGGGCACTGGGAAACGACAGGGTGACTTTCTCATCCTCGTTTTGATAGTTGAAGCCTGTGGCATTGATTTCTACATCAAGGCGAACAGAGAGAAATGAATCAGCTTAATACCAACGATGAGATGACGACAGGAAGAAAAGCAACAAAGTTGGATCCTCACCGTCTCCTCCGTCTGGTGCAAAGGAAGCTGTGATAATGTCGATATCAGCGCAGTTCATCACAATCTGATTCGTAGCCTGTGTGACCTGGAAATGTTGACAGAAAACAGCTTAACGTACATTTAGAAAATCATTTGCAGAGGGACGTTAAATTCTAAACGCTGGGAAAGGTCCGGCGTTCCTGCAGATTAACTCCTGTCGGAAAAATTTAGCTTGCAAAGAAACCCAGAATGTAAATGAAGCCATGTCTGAATCCTGCACTTTGCTCTGAAACACGAGCAGAGGCTGAAAGGCATCCTGCACGTTTACAGGCCTGGAAGCACAGCTGTTCTTCCACCCGACACCCCCCAGCTGTGGTTCCCAGACCGTGGAACTGGGACCGACTTCAGCAGGACTCTGAGGAAACTTCATCACTGACTGCTTTCAAAGTAAATCAGGATCATTATAAGGGACGTGGTGGATGGATGAAAAACAAACAGCTGCTGATTGAAGCCAACTTTTGATTTAGAAACTTTGATCTGCTGACAAATAACCCAACTATGCCTAAAAATGCTCAGTTTCCAAGCTAGTATGTCTGCTAGATTAGCTAATAGCTATATTTGGTTCCCATAGTGACCAGTAACAGTATTACCACCTTAAAATACATCAGAAAGCATTAGAGCTGGGAGAAATGTACATCAGATCTCAACACAATAGAGGGTGATATTATTCTGATGATAAAAGTGACGAGAAAAAGAAACCTTCTTCCCAGTCATTGTCATTTAGCTCTGAGACTGCTAACCACAACCATCAGAGCCCCACTGCACAAATGATTCTTCAAGAATAAAGACACCAAAATAAGTATAATTTTATCAAAAATATCTCATTCATATATCCGATCTGTCAATCACCCAAAGGAGAAAACTGAAAGAAAAAAAATAAAACTGTAAAATAAAAATAAAAAATGTGACAATTTTTTCCTTTTTTTTTCATTGTTTATTTAAATTAATTTTTTAGACGATAATTCAAAATTCTAATAATGAAAATAAAGGATATGACAGCTTTTAAACCATTTTTAACTCTAAGAGAAAAGCTATTAGCCTGAAGATGCTTTGCTAACATTACTAGGAGCAACTAGGAAAAAAACAGTGTCTGAAGAGGCGGGACTTCCTGAATTGTAGCCAATCACAGACAGTTTACATTCTCAGGCTGGTTCCCCTTCAAAGAGACAAAAGTGGACATGATGCACAGAAGCAGGTCCACAGTCAGCAGGAGAGAAGAGGGCAACAGAAACATCATCAACTCAGGCTTGTGACACGTTAAGGAACTCATGGTTTGGAATCTGAACCCATAAAATGATAAAAAATGTATTAGAGTAGTTTTACAGTTTGTGTTTGAAATAAAACTGCTAATAAATAGTATTTATTATGCATGTGCCCTTTAGGCAGGAATCTGACTGCTCAGTTATGGAGGCTACATCTGTAGCCTCCACGGGCATGGAGGCTATAGATGGAGGAGATAGAGCTCATGATTCGATCCAAACCCTGGGAGGCGTCAGCTCTCTGCCTTCTTCCTGTAAAACCACTGATTACCTGAAACTACTAGAAACACTAAACCTTTATAGCAAGAAGAAACCAACTTTGGAACCTGGAAATCCAACTTCTAGGAACCGTTTTTTTTAAACATTCTAACTTTGTTTAAAGGTTGACGTAAAAGTGGGATACATGATAAGACCAAACCCTTTAACCAAACATGTACGTGTTTGTTGTAAAATGAGATAAATGAATCGTCCATCTCATTTCCAGATGTGCACATATGTCTTTGACATCTGGCAATGGTTCAGATATAAATCTATTTTCAAAGAATTATGCAAATATAAAACTATTTTAACACAAAAGAAATCTTGTGCCTTGAAAAACGTTTCCATAAGCATCAATGAACTGGTATCACTGCTTTGATGTGTTTCTTACAAAGAGAATCGTTCCTGAAAAACAGAGTATTTCCTTAGGTTTTACTGGTATAGTGATTGATCCCAGTACCTCTGGGTCCCACCAGACTGAGTTAATTAATAGGCTGTATAAACACGGCACACTTGGAGGAACTGCGACACCGACAGTTTGAAGCTCAGGAGTTTTGACACGGCTGTCAGCTGTGAGCCTGACGAGGTGGAAAATAGGCTGCAATTAGGAAACCTGACAGAAGGCAGAGAAATGAGTCTATGAACAGGTTAGCTTAGCTTAGCCTGCAGACACCTGGACTGAGGTCATCATCTCAAGGACAGCGTCCAATATTTACAATCAACTCTCACACTTTCATCTTTCCATATCTACCACCTGCATCCAGTTATTATTAATACTGATATTATCATTGCAATCGGGGACAATAACTAATATTTACTGCTGTCATAAATTTCCTGTGAAAAACCACAGTGCTGACATTGCTTCTCTTCTTTGGTTAAAAACCAACAATCCAGAACTTCATGATGACCACGTGACTCCTAAAACAAAACAGCAGCTAGAAATAGAGACGGGTTGTGAAAAAGCTCCCAGTTTAACTGACAGCAGTGATGTTATCTAGATGAACATCATCAGCAGATACTGATGTCAACGCTGCAGATAGACTGAGCATCGTTAGCTTAAACTAGCATGGAACACAGCATCTTTGTTTTGAGACAAAAATAAAAAAGCTTCTCGCCAATATAGATTCATATGTTTTAAAGAACGAAGCAGCAGTGTTTGTGTTTGCAGAGCTGCGCTCCAGACTGCAAAGCA